ATTAAATCGTACACAAAAACATGGGATTATTTCTGTCATTAGACACAGACTCAGTATCCTTCCCTTTCTTACGTCCTTGGTAAATGTAGCAACAGTGGCAGTTGGTTTGTATTAATTAATAAGGATTTTTGGGACGCAGAGACTGTGCACGGATGGGAAGCCGTGGTGCGTAAAAGGCTTAGTTAGGATTACGCATTGCGTTGTGTTAAGGCATACGCGATCATTAGCAAGACGTGGGATTGCAGTGCTGCTGTTGTTTTGATCACCACTGTATTAGGTGAAAAATACAAATTATCATCACTGTCCAGTTTTCTTCATCCTCGTGAGTTTTCATAAAATTCCTCGAGTTGCGTGTGAAGGTCGACATCCATACACAGACAACGTGCAACGTGATGTGTTAAAACGATGAAGAGATGTTTATGGACGTGGTTATTAAGTTTTGTTTGTCCATGAGAACATCCACTATCGTCCACAAAAGGGTTTCTTTGCATGAACTAAAGTCGCAGACGCAAGGCCACGTTTCAGCTCCGATACATCTCGATAACAATCGATACACAAGCGAGTATAATTGCTCTATATCGATCCAGTATGAATCTTGCTTTATACGAAGTTCAAATCGAACTCGGCTGCCCAGAAACGACTCGTTAACAAAACATAGAGAAATGTTTTTCGATGTCGTGAAAATAAGACGAAATGTTGGGAAATGTAATTTATGACTGTGTGTAGTGTTTGGTTAGGTTTGCAATGTTAGATATGAAACGATTTAAGAAAGTTAGATTAAGAATAATAAATTGTTGAGTAGACAAGGACCTGTTCTGAATGGGCTGTTATTTCAATCTGAACTTCTGATTACGCCAACATGAAATGACAACATTCAGGAATTACGGGAAGTGACAGTCATATTTTATTGAGTTTTATAACTTTTGGAAGAAATATTTTTAATTGTGATTTGTTATTTATACACTCACTGAATTATTGAATGTGCTGTTATTGGTATAAATAAATAATTATTTATGTCATTTCGATTTGAACAAATGGAATGTCTTTTGTATGTTATGCTTTAGTCATACGTAATTTGAGTGTTAGGCATTTGATTGACGTTAGAATAACATAGCGTATTATTATAGCAACTCGTTTTAAGTAGTGTGGAAATGAAACCAATTAAATTAGAAGAGCGCGTATGTACGTAGTATAGGAGATTCAGCTTTCAAATGGGTATAAGTCCGAAGAAAATTAATTTAATGAGTACAGTTCAAAATTAAAGGAAGTTAAGTCCATCCTGACTTTAATCAATTTACTTCTTGTGTTGGCTGCTGTAATAAGGATTGTTGTATTCTCAGTTTTAATATTAGTTTGGGTTTTTTTACCTGAATATACGCTTTGTCCACAAAAGGATGTAGGGTGACAAAGGGGGTCGTCCTGCTAGGCTTACACCGGTCAAACATTTCCGTTTTACAAATGTTTGCTTTCGTCAGAGTTAAAAAGAAAACAATATCTGAAAGCGGTCACCGTGTTTGTCAGGTCCACCAGCTCACACTGAGAGCACAAATATCACGTGTCCATGATTTCCGCTCGCAGTGTATAAAGTCCTTCAACAGAATGCTTTTCAGCCAGAAATTAGATTTTGAGAAAAAATTTGCTTTTATTGTTTTGTACTTGCAATAAATAGCCACGGTGGTCTAACGGTTAGAACGCTGGCCTTGTAATCCTGGGGTCTCGGGTTCGAATTTATAACTTGTGTTGGGCAAGGCCGTGGTCTAGGCAACACGGAGTTTTCCTCCGTGGCATCCCAACAATTACTCCATTCACACACAGAAGAAGGCAATGGCAAACCACTTCTGGATCATCCGCCAAGAACGTATATGAACAGGTCCCAATCCGAGAAAAGGATGGAAGGATCCTGCTCATATGGACCTGTCCTCAGACAGAAAACTAAATAAATAAATAAATAATGTCTAGGTCTTCCATGTGCTTTCTTTCCTCCTGGTTCTTAAATTAAAATTTTGTATGCTTTCTCGTTGTCCCAATGCTTGCTACATATGTGTTCAGTAATTCGTAAATGTCAAAAAGTCGCAGAGAAAGCATTTGGACAATACCTGTACTCCATAGTGGAGTGCACGTGTAGACAGCAAATTTTTAACGGGACTAAAACATTAGCGTTTTATGACTCCGCTTCCAATTAACAGGTCACATGACTCACTCGCTCATCGTGACTACAGTTGGCGAGAAAGTTCTGAGCTGCTGGAGAGAAAAAATCCGAATTTTGTCGTAATTTTATCACCTCCGACACAGTTTCTTGTGAATGCCATGTTTAAAGGTCTGGCCAGCGGGGTCTATTTACCGTCTCAGATATTGTAAAATAACAAATCACAGCATACAAGTGTTTACTAGACATTTTGAAAAATGTAGGTATTTGGTTTTAATTATGATTTCAGTTATAAAAATGAAACCCATGATTCGACCTTGTAGTACTCTCCTACGTGTTTGTTATTGCAAACAGAACAGTTATCTTAAGTTCTACGCCACGTAAACATTTAACTGGAATGGTCTGCTGACTGAACGCTGGGATTTTGAGTTTTCAGTTTTAATTAAGTACAGACGTTTCAAGCTCTAATTTGGTCTGAATAACACCTATCCTCACTGATGATTCCGTGGTTTTTCACAGTCACTCCGGGACCATGTCGTGTCATTTGATACTATGTAATATGCATAATCGGGAAGGAGATTTTAAATAAAACAAGAATCAATCCGAAATTTTACCTCGAGTTATCACTTCATCTCCTCTGCATGTCTAATTATAGTACTAACATATGCACAAACTTACATTAAACTTTCTATCTGTTTTGGTCTGATCCAATTGAAAATTTGACAAATTAAATTCCTTCTAATAGTTTTAATGTATGCTTTGATGCATTCATTACGAAATATAAAGTGAACGTAGAATATAGAAATGGTAGTTGTCTGTCTTCATGTTTCGTAGCCGAAACTTTTAGGACGAATTCTGATGGCATTCGGTATTGAGGTCTGCTCTAATTTATCTCATTTCATTCATATCAGTCTAATATGATCTCTGCTTTACATAAATCTCAAGTCTAACTTTATCCGTCTTTTCCAAACCGGCTTATCGTACACAACAAAATAAAAACCTCTTAAATGTCTACAACTTTGATGTCATACATTTTCCACGCGGTCCATATTCAGCTAAGTACAAGTACAAATAATTTATCTCTCGTATAAAATGTCACGTGATGCGTTTCGCTTTGCAGTAACAGATTTATGTCTGTAATAAATACACAGAAACCGAGTGATGTAGCAATGAACCTTTGAAATAGACGTTCTCACCCTCATATACACATATCAAATTCTGCTTCCAAGTAGACCCGAACTTTTGTTTACATATTGTGAAAAGGCTGACGTCTTCAGAACAATATAAAATATATTCAAATACAACATAACTTAAACAAATTTGCGAAAGATATTAACGCCAGGTAGCAAAGATTAGTCTTGTGGTCAGTAAACATAATGGCAGTCGGTCATTCGGCTGTCGCGTAAGGCCCACCTTGATTTGAAGAAACAATTACCGACCTATTACCAAAGCTTATTACTAAGTGATGATTTCATTATGAGTGGCCACCCTCTCATCCGAACTTCAGGACACAGCGTTTGAAGGTTATCTCTGCTTTTTAGCGTAAGCGATTAACATGATATGGGTACATTCTGTGCGTCTAATAACTCGAGATCGATCGCACAAATTTTTTGAGAATTTGGTTTTTAACTTTTCAAGATCGATAATAGCAAAGTGACATGCTGAAATTTGTGAGATGGGACTTTGAACCTCTGATGACGTCATGCTCCGTCGTCGTAGTGCCATCTATCAGTGGCTATTGGATATATTCGTGCTACCATCTGTCAGTGGAAATGTGTACTTAATACGAATCACGAAATTACACTGCGTAAGTTATAGCCTAAACGCTGATTTCTATTAATTATCAGGTGAAGTGTTTGAACCGGTTTTGTTAGATTTGTTCACTTACTGGAATATTTTATTTAACTATTTAGTGAGATTGTTAATAAACTAATAAGTTGATCTTGATAACGAATAATACTCCTTGTCATTTATCATTTACAAATACAATTTTTCTGGCAAGACAATTAATTCCATGGCAAAAGGAATGTATTTATAGAAGTAGTTATGGGTCTTCATCCCATAGATGTATGTAACAACATTAATATAATATTTTTAACATAATTTAATGTTGTTTAATTTTAACCGTCTAATCACAATAAAATATTTTATTGTGATTAGACGGTTAAAATTAAACAATTATAATCATCACAATATGACGCAACATTATCATCTCATAATTTAATGTGAAAATAAACGTTTGGTGATGAAGGAACCAGTCTCTGTTAACAAGAAACTTTCTTCGTTAATCTGAGCATTATCGTCTTACAGTTACGTAATTTCCTTCACCTGTACACTTTATTACGTACGTGCATTACGTTCTACCGAAATATTTAACTACAATTTACTGATTACCGAATTCATAACCCATGGTTATCGCTGCTGCTTCGTATTCGGTGAATAACAGGTGTAAATCTCGACTCGAAGATCGGTTATCCTGATATTTTCGTTGTTTTTCTCAGTCTCTACACGTATGAACACTTCGTTATATATCCTTTCCAATTCAGTGTTTATTAACCACCCTATTATTCAACGCTAATGAGAGCCAGAGACAACGTAGTTAAATAAAGACACGTAAACAAAACTCAAGCTAATTTTGTTTTGATGTTCTAAGAATATCCAGACTTCTGAGCTGTCTGTGGGAATCAGCCAAAACTCAAGAGAGTCCACTAACTGTATACGCGGTGTTCTGATGATGCCTACTGAAATATTTTGTTGTCAACGTCCCCGTAAGCAACGAGTTTTGTAAAGACGATGTTCATGGCAGGCGCTGGAGTGTGTTTTGTCACTTATTCACCGACTGAGGGCCACTTACTTTATCACAGTTTGCTTCATGTTGGTGATTGCAGACAGCTCGCTCACCACCGACCTCTGTGTCTCTCCGCTCGACGCTGGAGGTAAACTGAGCCCAATGGAGAATGCCGGCTGCTTTACGTACCCGCTCGCTGCATGCCAGGGGTGGCCAAACAGTGGCATACGCGTGTCATTCCAACCGTCCTCCTAGTCAGTTCAGTCACTCCACGACCTCACAACTTTTATTTGGTCTAGTTTAATGTTACGATACCATGTAAGTGTAGGACTATTTTAGTCTTAACGCCTGAGGGACGGAGATCACTTTGGTGATCTAGGCTATTATTATTTATTTAGTGTTCTGTCTGAGGACAGGTCCATATGAACAGGATCCTTCCATCCTTTTCTCGGAATGGGACCTGTTCATATACGTTCTTGGCAGATGATCCAGATCCAGAAGTGGTTTGCCATTGCCTTCTTCTGTGTGTGAATGGAGTAATTGTTGGGATGCCACGGAGAAACCGGGGAAGCCCCCGGAGGAAAACTCCGTGTTGCCTAGACCACGGCCTTGCCCAACACAAGTTATAAATTCGGGCACCGCCGGGAATCTAACCCGAGACCCCAGGATTACAAGGCCAGCGTTCTAACCGCTGGACCACTGGGAAGATAATATTAAAACGGATCTTAAATATGTAGGTTGTGATATTGTGTAGTGAGATCAGTTTGGTTCAGGGTAGTGGCTGGTGCTGGACGTCTATGAACACGACATTGGAACTACGGATTCTGTAACAGGCAGGAAATTTGTAACTTCCTGACCGTCTGTTAATTTCTCAAGGAGAATATAAACTTGGAGTTAATTACTTAAACCTAGGTATTGGAAGTGGTCCTTATTAATAATGTTTCCAAAACAGGTTTTTCAAACCTGTGCTTGTATGTTCTTCCCATGGCTTATCACCTTGAAAATATCAGATAATCAACATAGGTTTTGAAACTGATCATTATGTAGATCTCTTCATTTTACGTAACTATATTTCTGTCAGATTCAAGGGCTTTACCTCGATTCATTGTAAAATATTCATTCCTACCTAACATAGACGAAATTAATGTTCAAATAAGTGATGTTGTATAATCAACTTGTTACTTTGTTATATATTAATACACTTCTTACCGACATTTGGTGGAGAGACCTCTGACTGTATGTTGTATTAGAAAGACGATACACAGATGAAATGATAATTTCAAAATGGATCTTGTGGAAAAGTGTGTCTTATTTTTGGGTTGGAGTCTTCTGGTTGGGTGATCAACAGTGTGGCCGGTCTCGTTTACCGATACCCACTGTTAGAGAGCACCCATCGTATAGACACTCCCGTCTTACAACCCTGTGGAAGAAGTTGCCTAACGCTCACGGCGCTATAACTGCCTGTACATTGGCGTTCCTAAAACGTTTACAAGTCATTATTCCGTGTTCTTTCCTCCGATTACACTGGTCGGGATTTTGTCTGTCCTTGATAGTATAGGTGGTCATCCCTGGAAATCCGCTTCTCTGCCAGGAACTTTTGTTTTCTTCTCAAAGAGACGTAATTCTGAACCATATTATACGTTTTTAATATAGACTTGTAGATTTCTGTTTAATTTTCCTCGTGACTCTTTGTCCCCCCATAATGTATAATTCATCGTCAGACGAACATTTCATCAGAATCTGTTCTGTTCTGAATATCTGAAACATGTCTTAAACCTTCATATATTCGCCGGTGCCAGGCTAAAGGGAGTGGTTGTTATATTTTACGTAATTTATTTCATACTTTTTTTGTAATTTAGCGGAACTGTCATTTCAACTTTAACTTCGCATGTTAATTATATAATCATAATGGTTTTGGATACGTCATTAAACTCGATTTTTTCAGAACGTTCCTAAAACTTTTTCGTTCTGTTAAATTATTGAACTTATAGTCTTTTATCCTAGCAGGAGCAAATTTTAAATCGGAAATATTTGTACTTATCATAGTTTTAGTATTGTAATATCCTCCGAGATATAATTGTGTCTAGATTTTCCGTTTCATAAATTATTAACTAACTAGATGGCTTACCGAACCCGAAGGTTCATCACCGAATTAACCAAAGCCCTCCGCCGGATCCTGTCCTGGGCCAACAAAATCCAGTCTTTCTTGTTGATAAATTTTTTTTTGTTAAATTTAACGCCAAGCTCCATCTTTCGTACTTTTTATGTAATTTCTTGGTCATGTATTCTAGGTGTCTTACGCCATTACTAATCCACGCTCTGCCTACATTTTGCTCTACATAAGAATGGATGACTGTGGAAGTATATATTCGTTTATAGCACGACAACGTATAAACTGATTTACACGAAACTTGGCATGCTTATTCCTTGAAAGTAGGAAGATATTTTAAAAGGGTCAAATTGAAACCCAGTGAAGTTGGTGTCTGTATCTTGGAATCAAAGCACGATAGAAAAACATGACCAAGATGGAAATTGTTTGTTTCCGCAGAGACATTACAGGGACAAAGGTCACATTTCCAAAATTCTGTCCTGTGTTCAAATCCCGGTGAAGATGCTGGGTTTATATAAAGTGATTTTACTGTGGTATTCAAGAATAATTATCAAATAATCAGGCCTTTCGTGTAACAAATACTGATAATGTAAAAATTTGTCGAATTTCCCTGCGGGAACTCTGATAGGTTAATGACGTAAAAAGAAATTGTCAGTCCCGCTATAAGATTTTATCAGCAATAAATGAACATCAAGGCTAATGGGGCATGGCAAATCGCAAAGAAACGCCTTTGGACAATACCTTTGCTTTCTGTTCTGGTGTGCTGACAGTTGCAGGCGACACCTGCCGTGCTTCCCCCAGGCAACGCGCGGGCATGTTGGTCGCGTAACCGGGTCTTGTCACTGCCCCCGATACGAACGTGCATGACGCGCGCCGTTACCAGAAACTATTTCTTCTTTCCCTCAACTTTCACCGATTCGGAACTGACAAAACCTGGCACTGCTTTCGGGGGCACGGCGTTAGGTTTGACGGCGGTTGCTTCGGTTCTGGCGGGGTCCAGAAATGAGGACTACGTCTGTATCCGTTCCAGTCCCTCGCGGAGATCTAAAACAGGCCACTGCTTTACCGGCTGTACAAGGAATGTTAATCGACGGAGTGAGTCCTGTCTCTGTGGAAATTTATATTGTTCCTCCGCGACATTTCATCACCTACAGAGTTATGTAAAGCCGGATGATGATACTGTATGATCTTGCCGACCGTCACGTTGCTGTGGTTCGCTTTCCTGCTTATTATTCGGCACGTTCCAGCCTTGAATGTCAAACCTGAAACCGGCGATGCTGATTTGAAATTATTCGTGTTTCTTCTCAGACCCTCCTGGCAAATTCGGGGACAGTGTATTCGCCCTCCCTCAAATCATCCGTGCTCTGTAATCTATTCGGT